AATCCGAAGTCGAAGCACTTCAATCTTCAGACTCTGGCAAACTTTATATATTTCATACTCTTAATACACGAATTGGAAGATATTTAATAATGAGATAGATAATAAAGTCTTGGGGATTAAACTATATTGCCAACAAGCAATGGCTATCAACTTATATAGAACTCAGAGCCTTGTTTTATGGAGAGATGTAATTCAATATCTCAACAACAAAACATACAGAGCCATAGCGAAAGGCACAACAACTCTTAATAGAACTATGTATCATTTGAATGAAGTCTTTCACTCAAATTTCAACAATAACTACCTATTAGCACACTCATTTAGACAAGTGAGATTTTTTTTTTTATTATTCAATTATTGAAATTATAATAGTATATAAACATATAATTTCCAACAATCCCCCACATGAATAAAAAATTAGGAAGAATTTAAGAGCACATGCGGATAAGAGATGCATCGAGAGATGTGTCTTTTGGACTTGAACCTACCCTAATGAATACTTATCGGATTTACTTGGTGACGCAGTGGATGTGGAAGATCTTGAACTGTTCACCGCATCAATAAATCGAGACAATAAGCAACACACATCACTAATCCTAATATTTTACAGTTCATACGGTTGTGTTCACTTTGGTCTTGAACAAATTCCAGATTCATGAGAGCTTTAGAGAATTTAGTCATCTCATTCTCATAGAAGGAATCCACTTCTACTCTCACATAGGTGACCACTGATTAAGAATACTCTACAATATTTCTCTTATTAATTTATAAGATATCATTGTCATTAAGTATAAATATACAACCTAAAATGTCTACAGACAACACACTTCTTCCACCATAGGAATGAGGTATATAATGTGTTAACTTATTTGAATCATGCCCAACCAGTTTACCTATTGAACTTAGAACATGGGATCTCCAATCAACTAAGTTAGGTTTCCGCCAGGCTAATTCATTGGTTATGTTGGCTTTAGCCTCATTCCCCTCGATGATCAACTTACTCTCTAGTCAAACCTTTAATAATTGGTACCCACTAAGGTTGACTACTCTTATGGTGTGCATTTCCATATTATGAAATTATATTTCATACAAGAATAGTTGTTTTCCAATGTTAAGTCCTCGAAAGATATGTTAGGACTTGCACAATAATTTGCTAACACTAGGAAGTAGACTTCCCCCACATTTAAGGTATCTATAGAAGGTCTATAACCTTGCCATACCTTAAACAATTACTCATTACAAGAGATGACATTTTGATTGTCCCATCCAATTAGCAAATTACATTTCCATTCTTTTTAAGTAAATCCTCATATCTGAAAAATAGATAAGCTACCCCCACAATTCTTCGATAATTGTGGTTAATTTCTAATGTTTTTGTTAAATCAATCATGTTTTGTTCTTTATAAAGTAGGAAACAACTAAGATAGACCTTATGTATCTATCTTCCTAGGCCTTCATGCCTCACTAGCCATTATGGGAAAAGCAGTTCTTGGCCTTCCTTATTATGACTAACACGCATGACCATTCATATGCTTACTTAATAAGCATCATCATGTCTAATTTAATTTTGCAAGATGCTCCACATGTTTTCAATGTATCGTCTTTTCCTTTCCAAAAGACTCCCACACTTTCAATGTATAATTTATCTCAAAGGAACTTTCTTTGGTTTTATCCATGACTAACTTGGCTTATGAGCAAAACTCTTTTTTTTTTTGTTGTCACATTTTACTATTAATAGTTGAACAAGACATAAAGTAGACTAAATCTTCCTCCATCATCCTCGTAAAATCCAATTATCCCAAATGACTTGGTTGGTTAATTTCTTTCACCAAATCTTTTGCCCGAATGTAATAAAACCATGTACATGTGGTTTGTAAACAAGGCATAGATCAATCTACTTTACAGACATGGTTAGGCCTTCCAATTATATCTTTGGCCTTTGATCTCACCTATGGATATCGTCATGCCCATTTCATTGCAATGACCTTGAAATCAATGGTTTTCTTTGTCACAAACCAACGTTCTTAGCCACATATGAACATAAGGAGGGCTATCTTCTCTATACCGAAAAAAGAACTATCGCATCGTGGATTAAATGCATCAATTCAGATTCATTCCTTTCTGAAAAAAAAGGAACTCATTTTACGAACTAGCTAGTATATCACTGTAACCGTTCTAAATTTGCAGATAAAGCAAATTTTTTAATCAAGCCATTTCACTTGGCCTTAACTATTGAGAATGAGTCCCACATTGATGGGAGGAGGGACCTTGCATGGGCTTATAAGAGGTTGGGCTACTCCTAATATTACCAATTGGTTTTATGGTGGAACCTCAACTTTCTTTATGGTATCAGAGCAGGTTGTCCCCCGTATGAAGCCAAATGGCCACATGTGCTCCACGTCACCCTATTATGTTGTCCATGTGTTAGGCTCAAAAATTCGCTACACATGAGGGGGCTTGTTGAGAATGAGTCTCACATTGATAGGAAGAGGGACCTTGCATGGGCTTATAAAAGGTTGGGCTACTCCCAATATTACCAATTGGTTTTATAATGGAATCTCAACTTTCTTCATTAATCATCACCTCCTTTCTAATAGAATAGAAAAGTCAATGCCAAGCATACTTTCTAGATATTCATGAATGATGCAATTGAATCATGAGAATCGCATATGTGAAACAAAAGATTCATGATTGCAGTGCAACATATATTATGATCAATATATCCATGTTTTCTCTAAAAATATCTCAAAACACCAACTAAGCAGTTTTTTTTTTTTAAACTCTTACTCCTCATGAACATAGAAAAACCAATCATGATAATCAAAGTAAATTCAGAATAGCCATATCTGATTTCAGCCCCCAACCACGAACCACACGAAACTGATTTGTTAAAGCACCGAATACCTTTTCATGGAGATATCTAGGTCACTTATCAGTAACTCATGAAATAATTTAATTTCGTTCTCTGAAAGAAACACTCTCCAGGTCACTTATCAGTAACTCATGAAATAGTCGCTTATCAGTAACTCATGAAATAATTTAATTTCGTTCTCTAAAAGAAACACTCTCCAGGTCACTTATCAGTAACTCATGAAATAATTTAATTTCGTTCTCTGAAAGAAACTCTCTGGGCATCAGCTCATATGACAATTCAAATTTTAACATGGTGGTAAATGGCCAGAGACATCAATACCCTCTCACTGTCAAATGTAGAAATATCTATTTATTAATTTTCTTTTAATCTCATATGAATGGCAGATTCATTTTAGTGAGAATAACCAGGCCCAGAAGGCATATATGTTGTAGCATACATATGCAAACAATGAAAGCACACATATAATTGCCATATGAAAACCGAAAAACATCTTCTAGTATATACACAATGCAATTACCACTAGTGTGGCAACTTACAGATATTATTGTATATATCAAGAATTCAAGCACATCAAATAAACTAATATACATCAATATGCACATAAAATCCAGCCCCACAAATTTTCCAAAGCAACATCAGAGTTTCTTCTACTTAGCGTTTAGGGCTATGTTCAATGTTATTGATTTTAACTTCTTCTATTACGTACTCAGACTCATACTCTCTAATATTGCAAGAAAAAAAATTTCTGTCTTTAGATTGTTGGAGCAATATTAGAAAATATAAAAATAATAAAAGAATTTCAATGAAAGTAATCATGAAAGAAAATTACAATATCAATTATGTATAAGATTAATAAAAACAACTAGGGAGAAAGTTAGAAATACTGACAAACTTAGATATTGAGGCTTGCATAAATGCAATGTTGTAAAGAAAGAATTCTGCCCTACTCTTGTACGTGTAGTTCAGTAGGCGACCGTCTCCCAAGATCAACAATCTATAATCCGAAGTCGAAGCACTTCAATCTTCGGACTCTAGCGAACTTTATATATTCCGTACTCTTAAGACTCGACTCGAAAGATATTTAATAATGAGAAAGACAATAAAGTCTTGGGGATTAAACTCTATTGCCAACAAGCAATGGCTATGAACTTATATAGAACTCAGAGCCTTGTTTTATGAAGAGATGTAACTCAATATCTCAACAAAAAAACATACAAGGCCTTTGTAAAAGGACGGCAACTCTTAATAAAACTATGTATCATTTGAATGAAGACTTTCACTAAAATTTCAACAATAACTACCTATTAGCACACTCACTTAGACAAGTGAGATTTTATTTTTTATTCAATTATTGAAATTATAATATTATGTAAACATATAATTTCCAACAGAAATTAGGCATGTTTCCTATATTCTTGAAATCCTTACAATCTAAGGATTGGCGTGCGTTGCAAGCAATCATACTCCTAAAAGGATGCAATATCTGCTTCTAGATATCCTATGGGATTCTTCTAGTTTAATTGGATTCCATATCCTAAAGGGTCTCTATCTCGACTGACATAAATAAACCCTTTTAGGTTTCATCTCTGGTAAAGCAATTATTGCACACTCTTACCTAATGCTTGAGTCTCACATATTTCCTTAACCTTTGGCTACTTACAGTTATTTACTATTTTGCAGGTTAAAAAAGTTTGTGCATCTCCTTACACGCGGTAGGGCACGAACTTTATTCCAACAGACGAGATGGCGAAACTACAAAGGATAGTCGAGCGCAACGCTAAGTTGATGCCACGACGAACAAACTGGCCTGCTCGTCAAATGCCTTACCTGGCCATCATTGAGGAGAATTCGTTCCCGAGAAACTTTAAGTGAAAATTGCATGATGATCATTACTTTTGGAGAGAATTGATCTTCAAATTCAAAATAACTCGTGATGAATTTTGTACTTGAATTAAATTCTTCTATTTCAGACATAAGGATTTTCAGGTATTGACTCGTGATTTTATTTAAGGAGTGGAATGAAGTTTTCTATGTAAGCACCAAACAAAATAAATTTCAGAGATTTAACAATTTTGTATTAGATTGTGTTAATCCAGTTCAGACATGAACAGGAATTGTTGGGACCCTAAGAGTTAACACTTGGAAGTACAATAAAAAATAATGATCATGTAGTTTGAAAGTTCGATATATATATATATATATGCAGAGCAATCCTCCTTTGGGCACATGACATTGTTCTCTAGTACTTAAGAAAGCAACAAACGAGATAAACTGTCACTGCCCTTGTCCTTTGTCTTCTTTGCTCCTTTTCATAATGTCACAACACACCATTTAGGTACTGTAGTAAGTCCACCAATCTATTCGAAGGTATAGATTTGGGGTTCATCCCTTGAAAGTGTTCATGAGGTACAATAATTCATGGAGATTTTTTTATTTTATTTCACAAATTGCCTGTAAAATTTTGACTGTATATATTCTAAGCCAAAATAACTGTGTTCCAAAGTTGAAAAAATACCGAAAAAGTGCAGAACAATCGAATCATGGCCATCATCTGAATGCTTCTTGTCAGATCCATGTTAGAAGGATCGATATCAACAGGGTAACGGTTACTGTACCAAAAAACAAAAAACAAAACCATTAATTGATTTGGTTAAAAAAACCACATAAATATTTAGCCTTTGTTTTGAATAAATTAGATATAGTGGTATTCCTCTACATTTATAAATGAGAGGTTGATCTTAGGTTTGATGAATTCAAACTAAATTATTATGGTTATTCCATTGTGAGACTTAACTCATTTCCACACCCTGTATCCTTTAATGTAGATATATCTTATGAAAAAACAAATAGATATAAAATGTGCTTGCATTTAATCACATAAATCCATGCTATCTTCATACAAACATGGGCTTGTTTGGATGTGCTTTTAAAATGTCTGAAAGTGTTTTTGGGTAAATTGATTTTGAGTTCCAAAAGCACTTTAAGTACTTTTTGGAAGAAGCATCAGATATGTGTTTCTTACAGGAAGCACTTAAAGTGCTTTTCCAAGATCCACTTGAATTTTTACTAAGAATTGGTGTCAAAAACTTTTTCATCAAAAGCGGTTTCAGTCATTTTAAAAGCACATCCAAACAAACTCATATACAATTCTTGTGTTCTCCATATATGTACTTATATTAATTATATGCATGCATAAAGCTATGACCATATGCACCCGTGCATGTGTGCAGAATCATCAAATCTTCTTCTGAAAGAATATTTGACAAAAATGAAATTAACAATTAAATTAGAACAAGTCGTTGCACATTCACATCCTGTATGTTGATTCTGAACAAAATCAAGGTAATAAGAAAATTTATCTTATTTTTCACACTACATGCGCTGAGATGAAATTAAGCACAATACATACTTGACTCAAAAGCTAACTGAAAGATATGAAAGTGACCTACCAGATAAGCACCATTCAAAGTTATAGGCACCTATTATAATTATTTATTTGTTGAAGGCACCCATAGAACATATAATTACAAAAAGAATAATTCTAAGTAGACTAATTTTTAAACCAAATGTGAAGACACTCATTAAAAAATTTAGACCACATTTTACAGAAACGGTGGTATTATTGCCACACCTCTATCTATTGAAGGCACCAATTAAATTAATTTTTAATACTAAAACTTATTCGTCAAGATGACTGTTGCGGTTAAAGAATTTCTTAAATTCAAAGTAATAAAAGTTATTTATTTTTATCTTTCACTTGATATAGGCTCAATTGAACTTAAGCACAATAAACACCTAACTCAAAAGCAAAGATTATGATAGTCACAAGCAGAAAAAAATTGAGGTTCTATTCTACTACAAAGTTAATTAGCAATATAAGAATTAGTCCATATACTTATAAGTTCATATCTCTTATCAATATTGAAGTTATTCTTAACACATACCATGTCATCTCTTATCATTATTAAATTTATGGGTAATGTCAGAAAACTAAATTTGTAGACCAAAATTTGCAAAGTAAATGATGTGTTACCAATAAACAAGCATGTTTATCAATGATTAAGTCATAATCCACTCATCAACTTCCATGTCATTTAATTTGCAAAATGTTGTCTACAAATTGAGTATCCCTAACATTACCATAAATTATATTCTTAACACAAACCAAGTATGACTCGATATATAATTACCAATAGTCTATACTGCACTACGCCTTATAAGCAAGTCCAACATGAGTCCAAGTATTCAGTAGTAACCAATTCAAAATTAGGTAACTGTACCTCAGTAACTACCAACCGAAAATCCTCAATATATATTTGGTTGCTTTTCATTGAATACTTGAAGTCCAAGAGTCCTAGTATTCGGTTGGAACCAAGCGGAAATTATGCATATGTTAAGTAACTAGCAATTGAAATTCTTAAAACAGTTGGCTGCTTTCCACCGAATACTGGAGTTTTTAGTTTCCTTGGAATTAATCTCATGTGTCACCATAATTATTCTTTACTAATTATCGGTTTCTGTGTTAGTACGTTAGCCCAAAAATTGTTAAATGTACAGTACGTACATGTTACACTATACTTCAGAGAGCTAGCAGTATCCGATTTTTCTGGTGCACCAAATCCCTTACTCTTACAATCTCCTCCAAGATAACCTACAGGGGAAAAATAAACAAAGTGACTATAAGGATAGTGTTAAGAGTATCAATCCTATATATCTAAACAAAATGAATGTTGCATGTGTTTATACGTAATTGGGCGATTTTCCATAGTGTCATTTAATTTTATGGTAGAACCTAAACTTTCTTCGGACAGTTATAAATTCATTCCTTTAACTTTTTTCCATTATGTTTAATAATGGTGAAGTAAGAATTAGGGTTTGGAGAAAATTAGCTTACATGCTTTAAAGCATGCTAATTCTGGCGTATCCAACAAGTTCCACGTGCCCTCAGGGCATTGGCATATGTGTCCAGTTCTATTTGCTACGCAGGTTCCATCGCCACACCAAACAAATTCACAACCTGGAAATTAAGTCATTTCATTTTTACTAATGCAGTTTATTAATCTCCGAAATTCATGAAACATAAGTGAAAGATTTTTCTGGTATGAAGCTTTCAATATGCGCACTGCTTGAATCACTTTTTCTGACCGATCATACTTTAGGCAGGGCTCAGGTTTGGGATTGAGGTGATTTTAAAAAAAAACTTGTATGAAAAAAAAGCTGAAAGAGTTTTTGGTGGGTAAACTTCCAACTTTAGCTTTTTTTTCACAATTTTTTTGTGAAAAAAAACCAAAAAACAGAAGCAGCAAGAGGCAACTTTGAAAAACTAGTTTTTCAGCTTCTACGCAGACCTCTAAAACACGGGTGAATAGTGACCCTTTAATGAAACTTTCTGGCAATCTTATCCTCCCTTCATCTCTATCAAAGATCTTTGAAGATTTGTGTCGCCCCCAGCTTTATCGCCGAGCTCGCTATCGAAAGGCAGCGCTTCTCCTCTACTTAGATCCTCAACTTCCTCGATTCCCAATCTCGCTCTTCGCTCGACCATCACCTTCATCCGCCACGACATTGTCGACAAACTCCACGATGCCAGCCAAAACCCAGAAGACAAAAAATACCGATCTGCCGAAACCCATATGAAATTCAGCTTGTGAAAAATCAAAAAATAATACCCATATGACAAATCCTGAAGCTTTTTCTGAGAATGAATGAGAAAAAATGGAATTTGATGATGAGGGAGAAAGTGGCGAAAAGAATGGAATTTGGTGGTGAGAGAAAAAGTGAAGAGAGAGAGAGACAGGGAGGCAATTGGACGGGAAGGAGAAAAAAATGGAGATGATTCTAGAGAGAGTGTTCTAGAAAAGTAAGAGAAAAGAGAAAGGAAAAAAATGTAAAAGATAGAATTAAGCTTGGTTTTGGGGAATGGAGAAAAAGAAATATGATAAAGAAGTAGCGGAGGAAACCAAGAAAAAGAAATATGATAGATAAGCTTGGTTTTGGTCATTTCACACTGTTACAGTTATTTTGCATAAAAATTTACCAAACATTATCATATTACTTTTTTTTCTAAAAGTACTTTTACAAAAAAGTTTATCAAACACTCTGCTACTTTATTTCACAGCTACTTATTCTCACAGTACAACAAAAACAGTTTTTTTTTAAAGCACAGCAATATCAAACCAGCCCTCAATTTCATCATTGTTAACAGTGGGATCGGATAATGTGATTAATATACGTTTACTCACTTTAAAATCGTTTTTGAAGCAAAAAACCTTATGTGTATGATAGATGAATGGATGAATATAATATTTTGCTAAATCACCTGGTGGAGGAACCACAGGAGCAGGTGGTGGGGGCGGTGAGGCAGATCCATCACATTGGAAATTAACCGTGCCTGCATTATCATCATTCACGAAACTGTTGTTGTATTTTTCCTTTCTATTTTTATTTTTTTTTTTGTAACTGTGGAGTGAGAGTATCTGAATTTAATATACTTAGCAGTTGAAATAAGCCAAAATAAAGCAGACAATAAGCTCATGCTGCAATTGTTATTTTGTAAGTGGAATATTACCGTCCAGATAATTAGAAGAAAAAAAAAATCATATAGGCAGTAATAAGTTGAGAACTTGAGATAATATCTATGTACGTGACTTCTTGACAAAATACTGATCTGATTTGCTCAATTATTACATGGTTGATTGAAACAATGACTAAAATATAATATGTCAATTTATCTTTTTGCATTTTCCCAAATCAGTTTCCTGGCATTGTGATTAGCGTTCATCTGTTATTTATTTGAAAGCAAAGAATTGCCGCCCAGAGCCTGCATCTATAACATTGGCAATGCTAGATTATAGTTACACTATCAGATTCACATAAACAAAGGTGACTAGCGAGATTGCATAGCGGAGTCTCCCCCGCTATGGGATTTCAAACTACAGTTAGTTTGGTGATACAAGTTTATAACATGATTATCCTCAAAACTACGAGTAAATTTTGATCAGCCACTAAAAGTAGCAAGTGGTTTGAACACTAAACCTTCATTACACTTCTCTTTAAAATGAAAGAATCTGGGAAACTTGCGAGGGGTTTGTTGCTCTATTGGTTAAGAGTGTTTATTCATGTATCCGACGTCCTGTGTTTGAACCCCCCCCCCAAAAAATCCCCAATATCATTTTTTCTTAAACAAGACAATTATAGGAAAATTGTCATAAACAGTATACATAATGACCTTAAACTTTTCATTCCGCTACTATTGCTCTGTTTAGGTACCAAAGAAAAGGGAAATTATTGCATCAAGACTTGAGAGAGAGAGAGAGAGAGAGAGAGAGAGAATCACAGTTTGGAATAACACAAGCGGGATAGGTAAAGGGACCAATCGGAATCTTCTTCCAACCAGGATTACACTCGCAATCAAAACCAAGCAATGTCTCATTAGAAACCTTGCATACTCCTTGCCCACAATGTACCACTTCACACACAATATCTGCCATGCATACAATCAAAAGAAAAACAGCCCAATTATTATTACCAACACAGCAATATTAACCACACCAAGCAACAAATTAAGTGAACCAATTAAGATCAAGTTCAAAGGGAAAATATATAGTTTCTATACACACACACACGCACACGCACACGCACATATATGTATTTTACCTCCAATTGGGTCTGATGGAATTGGAATCTTCTGTGTGGAACCGATTGTAGAGTAGAAGGTGAAGAGGGCAAGGAGAAAAAGATAATGAAAATAAATTAGATTGAAATTCAAACTGAAAGTTTTCATGATCATGATTTGGTGTGAGACACAAGGTTTAGTGGAGCAAACTTAATTAACTAGAAACTAGAAAAAACAGTTTATAAGAGCTAGTTAATTAGTACTGTGGAATTATGCTCCCTCAAAATGCACACCACATTGCCGCCCTTTTTCTGTTTCACATTCTTTAAATTTTCTATGAAATTAAGCCACCTTGCACTTGCATTGGGGCATCACATCACCAAAGACATTTTTTTAACTCCATTATTTTGTTTTAGGTTAAAAGAAGCAGCCAAAGGCCGAAAACTTTTAGATTGTGGGGGTAAGGCTAAAGGATGCATTTTGTAATCTTAGAGTGCGTTTGTTTGGCTTCGTTAAGTTTTATTGGATTAGATTGAATTATATGTTAGTGTAGACATGTGTTTGTTATAGGCAGGATTAAATTTAATGGGACTGACAATATTGTGTAGCAGTGGATATCTCAATCAACACAGCTTGTCATACAATTCATTAATCTATACTAACAATAAGAAGCTTTCACCCTTCCCCTTTAGTGTAGATAATATCATTTGTTAAAAAAAAAAACAACGAACAAACCAACAATAAGAAGCTTTCATAATTTTCCATCTTCTTGTAATAAATTTTACGATTGATAATTGGGATTTGCTATTGGCTATATGGAAGTCCGATCAGTTTGGTAAACAAGATTTGGAATTTGTTGTTTCAACTTTCAAGTGATCACGCCTCCGAAGATGGGTTCGAGGAACAGGGTGTCTTAGAAAAACAAATTAATCAAAATTTTAAAAACTTGAGATCCAATCAAGTAGTGAATAAGAGGAATTTAAAATTTAATAGGGGTGCAACTTCGGTTGGGCCAACCCGAACCCGCCCATATTCAACTCGACTTTAAATCTGAACAAGCCGGTTTTTTTAATTATAATCCGTCCGAACCCAATCCGATTTCAACCCGTTCATTGATTGAGTTGGGTTGGGTTGGGTTGATTATTTATCCAACCCAACCTAACCCGACCCAATCCGATTAACCAAACCCGATTGGGTTGAGCTGTGCAACATGCTTCTCAATGACCTTTGCACCTTCATGGAGGGATTGACTAGTGACTTTTGATGGATTATGATAGAAAAGTGCATGGAGTTGCAGAAAGCAATTGTTTTTCTGGTAGCCACACTTTGATTTTTCTACAGGAGCTTCGAAGGACAAGACTTGAGTTGGGTACTAGGTTTGTTTTTCTGCAAGAGCTTCAAAGGATAAGACTTGAGTTGGGTACTAGCTTTGGACAATGAAGTGTTCCTCTTTTTTTTCTTTTGGTACTAGCTTTGGTATTTCTTGTATTTTAATTCGAACTTTGCATGAACACGATTAAAACTTGAAAAAGTTGGGCAACCCAAAACCAACCCAAGTAAACCCGAACCCAATTAAACCCAAACCCGAATGAATCTGATTAAAACCCAATCCGAACCCGAACCCGAATTCTAAAAGTTGGGTTAGGATTGGGTTGACCTTTTAACCCGTCCAACCAGCCCGAGTTGCACCCCTAATCTTGAGCAAGAAGTTGAGATGGTGAAGTTTTGTCTGCTATATGCTTGAGAATTTTTCTATATGACTCTAGTATCGTCATGTAGGTTACCAATACACTACAATATTACATATATAAATATGAATCACGTCGACTATTCATATTATAACACATGTATTTGGAAAATATTAGTATTTTATGGTTATTTGATTATTTGGGTTTGCTTGTTAGTTTGGGCCTAGCCCATGGGAATTAGGGTTTCAAGGTTTTGCTCTTTATAAATATAACTTATAGTTTAGTATGAATAACAAGCTAGTCATAATGTAGCCTCTTGGAGTTTATGTAGCCGTCTCGACGATTTTGTAGTGTTTGATATCAATAATATTTTTAGTTTTGTAATCCGTTTGTTCGTTTATCATGATATGCGCACTCTAATATTCAACTTGGGTCTTGGTTAGGGAATCGGTCCATATGAGCAATGTTTGGATGATGGCACATACATTAAATCACATGGATGTTGCATCGTTCTTTTCACTGAATGTCTAGTTATAAATCACTGAATGAAATTTGGAGTGTATTAGTATGGATAAAAATTAAAATAAGCTCTGCGAAAAGCAGATTCTATACACATACACGGTTACAGATGCAAAATAGCACAACACTATGAGACACTCTTCCAACACTTTGGGGTACACCAACTAATTTCTGCCTAAACTCAAATGGGAATATCAAGGACAACAAGACAATCACTCGGAAACTCGACCATGCACTGCAACAATCCAATATGAGCTGATAAACTTTATGCTGATCCAAATTCGTGAAACCATTTCTCATGCCGTTCAATATCAGCTTGAGAAACACTCCGTTGGACCTTCGCCAAGGCTTCTTCGAAGTCACACATGGCAACAGGATCCTTTGAAATATCATCCTTGGACATGCTCTTAATCTCATCACGTGTCTTTCCAGCTATTTTGCGCCTCATCCCATTCAAGGAAGCATCCCTGCAAACGTTTGTGAGATCATCACCACTATATCCCTCTGTTCGACGAGCCACAGCATCCATATCTACGTCAGGGGCCACCTGATGCACCAGAAGCATTTTTTATAATTTAATTTATCTAGGATTAAAATAATAATAATAATAATAATAATAATATTTACCATTTGTTTCTCATCTTTATGACGTTACTACAGACATTTTACTTGTTCAAATTACAAAATGAATTCTCTGACACATCTTAGATTCTAATTGTCTAGAGCACAGAGCAGTCAATCTATATGATAAACAAAAACCAAAAATCCCAGGAAATTAGTGATTTTGCTATCCCGCCGTTGAAGATGCCACATACTTTTATTCTATTTTCATTTTCTAATTGGTATCACCACCTTAATAGCATAAAAGGACACCATGTGAGCCATATTAAGTTATTAAGCCGCGACAGAAACACATGTCCAAAATTAACCTACAGAATTACAATGAAGTTATAGAAAGGTATAGAATTAAGGTGCAACATGCATAATATAACCATAATAGAATATCAGTAACTGCAGTACCTCGACAGTTTTCATATTTATCCGAATAAGTGCTTTACGGCTCTCAAAATTTGGAAGGGGAATATATATACGTTTCTCCAGCCTCCTCCTGAATGAATAACATCGGGTTAGAAATATCAAGACTGAACAGGCATTGTCAAGTGTTTTTTAAGCCTACCACTCTTTCCAACTCAAAGTTTGAAGAGCGGTTAGGAGTCTGAAACTTAAATACAACAAGATGAGGACCAACCTGAGTGCCTCATCTATGTCCCATGGGAAGTTAGTAGCTGCCAAAACCATCACTACTTTACGAGTACCATCTTCATTAGTACCAGTATTGTTGACCCCATCTACCTGAACTAGAAGTTCAGATTTCACCCTTCTGGATGACTCATGCTCCCCTGATGCCCTAGACATATGGATATTTTGAATTTAGGTCAGCATAAGGAAAAATCCGACATTACAATGAATTTTACACTTGAAATGTTAAAAACAAGAAGATATACAGTTTAAAACAAAACATGCAACAAACGTAACATACATGCAATAAGCTCTTTTAAGTAAAACTGAAATAAAATCTTACCCCCGGGAATTGCAGAGCGAATCAATTTCATCGATGAAGATGGTACTTGGCGCATAAGCTCTTGCAAGATCAAATAAGCACCGTACCATACGTTCACTCTCTCCACGCCATTTTGAAGCTAAAGTAGCAGAGGAGACGTTGAAAAAAGTTGTGCCACACTCAGTAGCAACAGCTTTAGCAAGTAACGTCTTCCCAGTGCCAGGAGGACCAAACATTAGAACACCCTTCCATGGCCTCCTAATTCCCTACAATCCAAAAAGCAATAAATTCAATGTGAGAAATGGCCTATCAGGATCGAGACATTTCAGCATGTAGAAAAAGAATCAATTGCTTCGGTGAAATGTAGAAATGTGAAATTGGTACAAGGTACAGATGTGAATACTATTTGGGACATATTAATATAACTATTTTCATTTTCCCTATGTAAATGTTGTCAAATCAATTCCATAAAAGACATGAACCATTCAAAAAGTAGCTACACAAGTGTTACAAATTCAAAGTAGGTCCTAAGGAGTGCTGCTTCTTAACCAAAGCTATGTTGTACCATAGAAAAGATAACATGCCAATAGCCAGTTCCCCAACTTCACAAGGAAACCCTAACCATTAATTGATGCCATTCATGCCAAAGAGACTAAAAATGATGCAAGATACTACTATCTTCATTTGGTTTTAACCATTCAACGATACCTGAAAATATTCCGGCATTAACAAAGGAAGCACAACGGCTTCCTCTAAAAGTCTCTTTGCTTCTTGTAAACCAGCAACATCATCCCATCTCACTCCAGGACTGGTTTCCAGTACATCCCTCTCAAGCATTTCAGCCAAATCCGGATCAGGTCCCTCATACTGTGACCTCTTCAACTTTCCATCTTCAGCATCACCATTCTATAAATTCCAAAAACAAATCAGTAAGCTGGACGATAAAAGGTACTGAAACCAAAGATTCCAACTTTGATGCAAACAACTACAATACAAGGTCATAACCTTGTCTTTAAATGAAGCAAAATATTAGAGTATAAGATAAATGTTTTTACCACAACTTAATTAACTAGTGATAGGTATTTGCAAAAGTGAAGATCAGCGCCTTACGCTTCAAAATAATCCTGTATTCCAAATACATTAACGAACTAAATATAGTACAGTGAAATATATCATTTGATTGAACTTACCGCTGAATCTGCCTTGCTAGATTTGCCAGAACCAGTGCCTTTCTTTCCAGTAGTAGAAGTTCGAGCCCCTGAGTTAGTCCTACTTGATCCACCAGCCTTTGCACCACGGCCAGGTGTGCCTGTTTTGGTTGCAGAGCTACGAGCCCAAGTTGCATCTTGTGGTGACTTCCTCGTACCACCTTGGCCAGCCTTTCCAGGTCTTCTACCCGAAGTGTCCCGACTTGGTGGCCTCCACACATCAGGATCATCTATGGGAAAACCAGAAGAAGTTGGGTATTCATCTAAGGGTTGAAAAACAAATGACGACTTAGCATGAACTGGAGGTGACGAAGGGCGCCGGCCCACGGGAATATCCTTAAATGCACTTCTCTCTGCATCTAATTGCTTCACAACCTCTGCTTCCTCAGAAAGTGCTTTCTTTACATTCATCCATTTCGCACGAATCAATGGATCATCGAGTGTGCTTAGGTGCCTAGAACAAAATAAGAAATTCAAATTCATAGTACATAGACTTAGGTAGGAACAGTGGCAAAAGTAATCCAATAAATAACAGAATTCCATCCCATGATACATTAAAAGCGGACTATAGTCTGGCAAAGACCCATCCAGTTGTTTGGTAGAATATAGCAGCTAGAAAATCTTATAGGACGAGAAAATGACAAAGCTTCTTTCTGGTCTTATTAATCTTTGGATTGCTATAATTCTGTCTGATAGTGAGAACCGGGCAAAAATCATCCTCTTCACTATTATACTTTTTGTTGTCATGCAAATTAAATACACAGAAAAAATAAAGCATCTTGGGTTAGGGCAATTCAAAGTACGCCACTTGTACCGATGCACATGGAAATCGCCCCCTACCCCTCAAAAAATAAAAGAGTAAATTGTACAAATGGTCCCTCAACTTTAATCAAATTGGAGCAATGGTCCCTCAACTAAAAATCCATTACCTTTGGTCCCTCAACTTATCAAAACGTGCAGCTATGGTCCCTCAACTAAAAATCCATTACCATTTGTCCCTGAACTTTAATTCAAGTGGAGAAATGGTCCTTTAACTTTAACCCAATTGTAACAATAGTCCTTCCAATATAACTCATTTTGACAAATTTTTTGACATAGTTGACGAAAAGAACCATAATTATACACTTTGATGAGTTAAGGGACCCTAATTATATAAATGGTTATTCCAACATAGCTTATTTTGACAATATTTTGACAAAATTGATGAAAATGACTATAGCTACACATTTTGATAAGTTGAGGGACCAATGATAATGAATTTTTAGTTGAGGGACCATTGCTCCAATTTGATTAAAGTTGAGGGACCATTTGTACAATTTACTCAAAAATAAAATACGGTTATCTTGTAGAACTTGCCTTGTTGATTAATAAAGGGCATAATGATAGGAATATGATGTTACTGGTAAGATTTATAATCATAAAGTTAAAAAGTTACATTTTTGCTCAACCTAGTTCAAATCTTGAACTATGACTTTATAGAAGTAGTCTTCCTATCAAATTTGAAAACTTTTTTATGTGGGCAGTCCAAATACATTCATGGGTTTATACACCTTATTCTGTTTCTTTCAAATTCTATGAGTAATCCCTAGAACTAATCCTTTCCCATTTATTCAGTTTCATATACAAATCAGAAAATTAGAAGTGAAGGGCCTCTCGGTTCGTTGTGAAATTTTTCAAAAAATGCCCACAAATTCTCTTTCCACCTTATGTGCAGTTAAATTATCCCAAACAGAATGAGCATTTTCCTGGAAAATTCAAATCTTGGAGTCGCACGAATCAAACATATACAACAAAATTTGAAAATCCCCCATACATTAAGCAATTAGCTCGAATTCAAAACAATTTCGAACCCAAAAACCTAGAAAATTCAACAAATTGCTCCCAAACAGATAAAACAGTAACGAAATGAGAAGAAATGGAAGAAGAAGAAGAAAATCAGAAATCAAGAAATGTACTTGTTGATCTGAGCAATTCCGCCGTCAAAGAAGATCAGGGAGGTGTCGTAGAGCCCTTCCATTGCGTACTCCCTCGCCAGCTTCAGGTGGTCTTGAAGACCCACCAGCGTTGGCCCCACCATTCTCTCTCTCTCTCTCTCTCTCTCTCGCTCTGATTTTCTAGGGTTCCGTCAATTAGGGTTCATGTGCTGAGGAGGAAAACGACGAAGCTGACACTCGAACCGGATAGTTTCTCCCTCTAGAACTCTCTCTCTCTCTCTCTCTCTCTCTCTAGGATGATGAGCTTTATTAAGCGTTTTCAGGTAAAAGGGGAGAGGGGAAGGGTGTGGTTTGAATTGACCAAATTGTCCTCGGGGTTAGTCGTTACGGTGTGGGCCTATGTAGGTTTGCCTAACGGGAAGGCTTAGAGGAAAAGCATACCCGGTAAAGAAGAGATGGGCCCGCAGTGACCCAAACCCAATACCCGTTTCATGATTCCTTCTTTTCTTTTTTTTGCTTTTTCCTTTTTTTTTGAAATTCAGGTTCTTTTAAAACCAAAAACTAAAGAGAGAAAAAAAGCTAAACTAGTGTATGATTTCGGTCCCCTTAATTTAAACAAGTCAATGGATCCGGATCCGAATCCGATGCAAAATTAACTCTCTTTTTTCTGGACAAACGATGCAAAATTAACTCATTTACTTGACAAGGACGAACGCAGGACTGGCAAGATTTTTCGGAAACCAAAAATATCCCATCACGGTGAAATAGATTGTAAATGTCTGTAGATGGTTGAGCCAAACGACGACGTTTAGTAGTTTACTCTTCTTTATTAAAACGAGAGTTTCTTCCACTTCAGACTTATTTTTTCCTTTCTGACTTTGCTTTTTCACTTTTCAATTTGGTTTCCTACGGTTTACGTGTGAAGTATAGTCCAAGGGAAAATTTCTAATCTATTGTTGTTAACTTATAATTCTAATGCTTTAGCCGTTTGTAATTTAACTTATAATTCTAATGCTTTAACCGTTTGTAATTTTTAGAAATATCTTGTAGTTACTAGTTAGGAAGGTAATTGGAGATGTAGAAATAGATAATAGAAGTGTTTTACTAGATTTATAGAATTTAGGAGATGCTATAAAAACATCGAAACCATGCAGAATCTTCGATAGTTGAACTTATGAAAATTCGGTTTAAAATTCAATCCACCCCATTTTCGAATCATGAATTTGTCCATGCATAATGGTACTTTCAATTTGATAATTTAATTACAAATGACTTTGAATATATGGATCAAAGCTGATCTGACACTAATTTGATCTTTTTACAAGTCTATTTAAATTTGTACGTGACTGACATACTGATAAAGCAGAGAACAAGAAGGAAATCAAAAAGCAATTGTTCATTCATATCCTCAAATGCCAAGGCTAGGGTTTCTAAATACATTCAGACAGGAGCTTACATGGAGAGATATTCCAAACAACAAGGAGATATAGACACACAGCACTACCATAACGAACATACATGATGATTTTTGATTCAGACAGGAGCAAATGGAGGCAAATCCATCTTGTAAGCCACGTTTCAGATGCTGGTGACACATATAGACAAAGTCTTCGACTTGAAATCGCGCTTAGTGCGATTGTTGTTCACATAATTCCTCATCTGTCATAGTAGTTGTTGGAAGACTATGAATAAATTTGGAAGAACGTGTGTATCTTTTATGCAAAAGCTTGAATCTCGACACGCCAATACAAACACGAACAACTACTCTGACCCTTCGTGCACGTCTAGTACCTTGCAGGTCGTTGGGTTGGCTACGGTATGTCGAGTTGCCCCTTGGTTTTCGCCTCCCAAGACCTAGAGCCAAAAGTGATAGCTCTAAAGACCTAACTAGAATATTTAAACTGTGGAAAAGCTTGTGTTTCTTCTCTTCCCCAAAGCCTCCTTACATAGTGGTTGGAAAGAGCATAAAATGACTGAAATGCCCATGAACATCCCAAGTATATTCTAATATGAATATCTCTTGATTTTCATCTAATTATCACATAGGTAATTAGGAGATTAATATCCTCATGTGGGTGGAATATCCTTTGATATTTATTTGTCCCATAAGATAAATCCTACAGTAGTGAAGTTGTTTGAGAAGAGAATCCGACTCTTGGAGGGTTGAATCGACAGTGTGAACCGCTTTTGGACCCGTAACATAGAAAATGACACTAGTGTAGGATATACCACCACTCGAATGGCAGCTTGATAAGTGGTGTTATACCACCACTTGGTCCAGGGCAACCAAGAACTCCAACTAGAAGGTTTATCACTGATAAAGCATCTCAGATAATGCTCCAAGGTCATGTTCAGTAATTCCGATTGCCGGTCCGACTGTGGATGATAGGCAGTAGAAAAAACAGAGTTGTGTACACCACGCTTTGAAGAATGCTATTCAGAATCGATCATGAATATGGAATTCCGGTCACTGGCGATGCTTTTGGGAAGGCCATGGAGGCAGAATATCTCTTTAATGAATATATTTGCCACCTTTGATGGCGTGTAAGGGTGGGTAATAGGCACAAAATGACCATACCATGACAAACGATTGACCACCACTAGATTGAGTTTTCCATGTGATGGTGGCAAACCATCAATAAAGTCCATTATGATGTCCTACCACACATTCTCCAAAATTGGTTGAAGTATAAGGAAAAAGAAGGTGGATTTGGGAGACATTTGGCTGAGGTATGATTCATTGAAAATTGTGACAACTATGATCTGGATATGAGTATTCACAATTCTAATTTATTTAATAATATTTTAATAAATAAAAGTAGCATTCTACCACAGTGGTGGAGATGAGTGTTGCATTTGCACCACGGCCTGGGTTTGAACCACGTCGGCTCTTTAATCTAACATCTATTCTAACAAATCTATCATTTGACAAAAAAAGAAATAATAAATTAATGTGTCTTTACTAATTGTGTAATTTGGGCTTCTTTTGTTGGATGATGGTCCACTTATGAAAATTGTGTACCTAATTTGCAAAGAATAGCTATAAAGATTCTCTCATTGACTACATGTTCATTTAGGTGTGGGAGAAATTGGAGCACTTTTGAAGGATTGCATACAAAGAAAAGGAGCATACTAGATGCAGCAAGGTTTAGCAATTTAGTATATGTCCAATTCAATGCCAAGATCATCAACAAGAAGGAAAGAGAGGAGGATGGAGTGGATGTGCTACTTGCTAGTGAAGCTAGCACGGTGCAAGGATGGATTGTTGACGGTGGTAATGAAGAAGTTGAGCTTAATTCGATAATGGATGGAGAGGTGAGTAGATGGGGTGAATTCGAGCAGATGGATAGTTTCCTAGAGCCTAGCGCTTTTTTGAACCTTGCATAAATGATGGTAAATTAGATCTTGAATTGCAACTACCAGCTTAAAATCATGGACAATTGAAACTACAACTACTAAAGTGGTGGAATCTCTACAACCGAAACTCGATATTGTCTTTGCACACTCTGGTTTTGATTTTCTTTTGATCTGCTACATCTGATGATCAAAAATAAAGAGAAAAGTGTGTAAGGTCGAAGGGTCAAAAGGTCAATGCAAAATGACTCCCCTTGCAGAAAGTCCGACGACGTAACATAAAACTGTCGGCATGAAGAGTCTACGCAAATGGAGCACAGCAAGTCAGAACAAAAGGGAAAGATATGTTGTATCAAGCATATGTGAACATTTGGAATAATATCTTTGCATATATTTTGAAAATCAATGTGTACAATAATACAGGCACATGTTAGAGCTTGGAATATACATCACTGAAATTACTCTAATTCTTCTGCTGGCAGAAAAGAGACCCTCCATTATTCTAGTTTCAAACTTAGTATAAACCGGAAAATGAACTTCCGTTTTTAATGTCGAATTCAATGTAATAATCGAAGTTACTCAACCAATCCTTACTCAACCAATCCATCTCTGATTAACTCTTCTAACCCTCTCCTCAGCCTCTCTGCAGCAGCTTTGCAGTCATCCTCTACCAAGCCACCAAAGGAGATTCTCACATTCCCCGGGCACCCACAAGCACTTCCGGGGATCACCACCACACCATGCCTGTGAGCAAGCCAGTGAACAAATTTATCATCATCTGCATATTTGTCCGGAAGCTTTGCCCACAAGTATATAGCTCCCTCTCCGCCTTTAACAGCACTGTCCCCAAGGGGAGAGAGCGCTTCTATAACGATGTCTCTGTTCTTCACTAGACCTTTCACTCGTTCAATGACCCATTCGGGTCCCATTTCCAATGAGTAGAGGGCAAGGTGCTGTGAAATTATTGAAGCACAGATAGGAATGTTGTCCTGAACTTTGAGGAGTTGGGTACCAAAGCCCTCTACTTCTGATGGGTAAGCTATCTGCATAAATTCATCAATTAAGTTGAACCAGCAATGCTAACTCATACGTCCATGTATCGATTCTAATAGATTATCAAGTTTGAAGATACAATTTTGAGATCAATCAAAACTTCTATGACTCGTGTTTACCATGCAAGAAAATTTCTAGACAGACACGTGCAGTCGTAATGGCTATTTGATACCGTGTCTATCAAGATTCAAGATGCAAAATATACATACTACTGAAGTAAAACTGTCACAATAGTTTTCCAGATCTATCTACTTAACAAGCATCTAAGATAAAGGGTATTTCTTACATATCCAACACGCCATCCCATCATTCCATAAGCTTTCGAGAAGGAAAAAATGTTGACTATGTGATTTCCCTCCACACATGTGTGTTTCAAATCATCATACATAAAATACCTGCAAGATCAAACGTTATGACTTGCGTATGCTTCAGAAGCAAACATTTGACAATTATTCTTCAACCGAAAGCAGTTAAAACTCGGACACAACTGAAATGGAGAACAGGAAAAGAAAAATCTCACTCAAGAGTACTCAGGTAAACACCAACATAACAACTACTACTCAAGAATTACCCAACACTACTGAAGCTCCACAATATAGAAAGATCAAAAAGGCTCATCTTCAAAGACTATTCCTGAGGACCGACAAATCTGTAGGTTTAGTCTCCTTTTTAAAGCTTCAAAATCTACTCCTGTATTATTTCAAATGTGCTCGACTGGACTTTGCACGAATTGAAGTTTTCTAAAGAACATTCCTATCACTTTTTGTATACCGATTTCCCTGGCAACCAAACATCTCAACACTCAACCCAATTATAGGCAATAATTCATCCGAGTAAGCACTTGAACTTCAGCAACGCTCAGCATCTTTAATTGCATATATTCAACTGAAGTCTGGGT